GAGAGAGAGGTTGAGAAAATTTTACCAAAGCAGCAAAAGTTTACGCTATTTTCAGGTTCAAAGTTTATTAATAAATCGCAAGGAGCAAAACTTGCAAAATTGAACGTATTGAAGTAACCAACAGACTTCTGAAATTGAAGAAAACGTAAAAAACTAAAGCCACTAGGACGTATCCAAACACCATTATTTCCAAAAGAACCGAGCCAGTGCTGCGGTTTACACGAGTCTAAGACGTGGGTCTACAAATCCATCCTAAAAAAGAATCAGACAAGAAACAGAAAAAAGAAGAAAGAACGAGTATCAACACAGCTGAAGACAGGAAAGACGTATTCGGGTCTCCTCTTTAACTTTTCTTCCGAACCTGAGCGACACCTCATTGACAGCATAAAGCAGAGCATTGAGAGCTCACGCTTTGCGCCGTCGCGCCTTCAATTTTTCAGATGCAGCACGGACGTCCATCGAGTACGAATAGTTGTATCTCTGCGCCGTCGTAAACGCGCATCCTTTCCCTCCCTCTATTTCCATATTGTGTTTGTCCTATTCGTAATAGTGCTTCAAGCACTACGTTAGTAACATAGCCGAAGGTAGGAGGGATGTGTTGGGACCTCTTTTTTGGCTTTTCTCCCGAATCTGAGCAACACCTTATTGACAGCATATGGCAGAGCATTGAGAGCTCACGCTTCGCGTAATCGCGCCTTCAATTTTTCAGATGCAGCACGGACGTCCATCAAGTACGAATAGTTGTATCTCTGCGCCGTCGTTAACGCTCATCCTTTCTTTCGCTTTCTTGCCATATTGTGTTAGTTTCCGTTAGTCTTATTCGTAATGGTGCTTTAAACTAGTAGCATAGAGCAGAGCTGTGCGAGTTCACAACTCACGCCATCGCGTCTTACATTTTTCATATGCAATGTGGATATCCATGTTGCGCAAGTAGTTGCACCTATCGCGTATACACTTCAGATTCATCTTAATTTAGAATTTCGAGATGAATTAAGGTTAAGTTTGCACGAGATATGATATGGTATGTCCAAATCAATAGTCATTTTGAAAAGGAAGAAATATGTCTAAAGGTCTCTCAAGCGGTCTATAAAGGGTGCGTGTGTCTAAAAATCGAACCGACAATCGCTTCTAAGGGAGTTACACATAGGGAATGAAGGAGCGGGATGATAAAGCGCCTGTATGTCAACAAAAAGGTGAACATTTTACAGATAAGTGTCTACGCTTCAGAAAGTAGTTCTTGGACCTCTGTTCACCACTATCATGCGTAAAAGCACCTTTCTTTACTCATTTAAGAAATTTTCCGAATATATTCGATACTTTTAAAAAAATCGATAGGAGTTCGAGACATATCCAAGGTACCTGGAACATAATTTCCATTTCGGTAGATAATAATTTCCTATAAATTTTCTCCCAGGACTGGATGTGTCTTCGAGACAGTTTGAACTCTCATTCATCATAAAGACTTTACGAAGGAATTTTATGGATTTTTTTTTTACTTTTTGGGACAAGAATCCTGATTTTCCTTTGTAGAATAACCGAGCAGGAAATACATGTATTAAACATCCCTTATAAGGGAATTTGTTCTCTTCGTCTCCTTTCAACCAGAGTGCGCTCAAACGTGCTCCAGTTAGGCTCCGTATAATTAACCGCTTAATTTTTCTTCTTCCTCCTCTTTTTCCAAAAACGAAGATGCTCATGAAAAAAAGGAAGAAAAAAATGTGGAGGGTATTAAAAAGAGCAATGACAGAGTTTCTGAGAGGGTACTGGACTCCAGCGATAGATGGACTGTCTCGGTCCGAAAATGCTCTGCAGGTTTGCATTAATTTCCTCTCTCTAACTCCGTCACTTATATGAGCGTCTACATAATCTCGAAGATAAAAACTGGTCCAAAATTCCAAACACTTACAGTCACCAGTCAACATTATAATCTATCGCTCCTAATTATTTTTCCAGGCAGGCGGTTGAAATGTCGCTCAGTCTCCAGTCCGGCCGTTTCAATCTCAGGGATAAGCCGAGGTGTGTTCGCCCACCTCCTCGTCAAATCAAATTCAGAAAAATCGCGTTTCACCCGAAATTGGTAATAAAGTAAGGATCCTAATCGCTTGTACGAGAGTCAATGAATAAATTCCCATTTTGTCAAAGTCAGAATAATTGATTGAGAAAACGTTATCTACTGAGACTATAACAACAGTGATGTATTTTTATTTGCGCCATTATCAGGGTCCATTGCCCCCTGCAGATTTAAGGCAGGTTGCAATTTATCCCTAAAAATAGAGATTTTTAAAATTTGCAGAAGTTTTCTCCCTGTGGGTGACATTGTGAATACGATTCAGAGCGAGAGAAAAGTACAATTTTGTCCCTGAGAAAGATGAAACCTTGAGTAGGATTATTATGATGAAGTTACGCACTACAAGTAAGAGGCAAGGAAGTCTCACAAGTTGCCGCCCTCTGACAATCAGTTCGTCGTCTCCTTTATTGTAAGCTGCTTTGATGGGAGGGAATTCAGGCGGAAATCTCAAAACAAAAATAAAAAAATTCCCTCTTTTGGAAATTTTCAGCATTTTAATTCGCAACGGGTGAAATGCCGCCGATCTTCCTAACCCAAAGGGACCCCGATTAGTAATGTTCTATTTGCCAAGAAAAACTGAGAAATTTAAGTACTTAATTTTAAAATTTTAACTGAGGGGTATTCCATACCCCCAGACCCCCCCCCCCCCGAAACGAAATACTGGCTACGTGCCTGACGTCCGTAACGACTCATCGTTCTAAATCACATGCTTGATTTATTTCTTGAATACATTTACTCATTTTTACGGAAAGACGCTTATAAGTGAACATTATGTTTCTCGGCCATCTTGGTTTGATATTGGCATTTGAAGAATGGCAGCGCGTTTATCTAGTGTTTTTCGGGATGGACGGCTGGTTGCCGTTTTGGGCCCTATGAGCTCCATATTTCGATATGCCCGCACTTTCGACTGTCGACTCGGGCCGACGATGGAGCCGACGAGGCGTGCGTCGGCAGCGGTTTGGGCGACCTCCTCGAGGTTGTAGCGTAGCGTCCAGACAGCTGTCATCCATTGTCGCAGGGAGACTTGGAGTCTAGCTCCCCTGCACGCAAGGCAACGCGCGCGTCGCGCCTGCCAGGACTCGGTCGAGGCCCCACGGAGAGCTCTGCGGCCCCGGCTTGTCGCCAAAAGACATTCCCCCCCCCCCTCCCACGGGTCTCTGCCGGGAAGGAAATTGAAGCAATCTTCGATTTTGAGAGATTATTGCGCACCTAAGGCTTTCTCATAGGTCTCGTTTTGATCCAATTGAGATGAATTTTGCTATTTTAGCTTATTTCAGTGGATTCTTTCCGAAGAGATTAGACACATTTTGAGGAAACTCGGTTTCGAAAATTTGACATTTACTGGCTTTCTTCGCTATTACGGCGGCGGCATGCAGTGTTGAGCGACGTATCGCAGTGGGGGGGGGGGGGGGGGTGGGGGGGGGGGCTAGAGAGTTAGGAGCCTCCTCTTACCGAAAACTTTTCTTCCAAAAAAAAATCGTTTTCCTCTGGACCCGACTGAGTGTCGAGCAATCTATTCGGCAAGTAAGCCGATGATCGATAACTTATGCTCGGTCACGATGCTGTACATCTCTCCGCTCGACACCTTGTCTCCTGAATTTTCAAAATGGAGTATCTTTACACAATGAGAATGGATGCATAGCCTCATGTGGACCTATAGGATCCAAAAAAAAATCTGTTACTCACTATGGGAGTGGGCTCTTGCCAATTTTTAGCCATCTGGCCACACTTCCGATTTTTTGTTAATATGTCAATGTCACGCTAATTCATATAAAGTGGAGATGATGTCCTATCAATCCATATCCTTCAATACTTCGTGGCTCATTAAATTGTGATGGACTAGTCGTTGATTACGACATTTCCATTTCATGTTGACTATAGTAACTATTTGTTTCGGGAGTAACTATATGTATAGTGAGAGCATGGTCATGTCGAAATATGGAGCTCTTCCGGCCAAAAAGAACAGCCAACATTTGAAAATGAAAAATGTCACTGCCATTCTGTTGTCCATACTCTCCCTATAAACATACTCTAGTTCGTACTCTCCCTATAGATCCTCTGGTCGGAACAGCTCGGATCGTAAAAATATCGGTTTGTCGTATCGTTAGAGTACCTATATTGAGAGAGTATGGCCACTGGGCCCCATGGAGAGGCTTAGGACCCAAAAATGGCGGTGCTTTGTTTTGGTTTTTGTGGATGGGAGGGGGGTCATTGCCAACTTTTGACGGTTATTACCAACCGCACTTGCTGCCAACCTTACTACATCTAGGATACTTTTTCTCAAAAATTGCACACGATTAGCCTTAAAAATATGTAAAGATGTCGCAATAGTGCATTTGAGTAAATTTCTCGTTACGATAAGCAAAGAAAACTACATTTTGAGTCATTTTGCATTACATTAATTTATGGCGTCCGCCATTTTTGGGTCCTAAGGGCTCCATTTAGCCTAAGATGGCTGAGCCAATCAGAGATGGTAACCCCAGTGGCCATACTCTCTCAATATAGGTACTCTACGTATCGTTGCATGGTAGCGCGGTCGTCGGATCCACGTCCCGTGGCGTCGATGATGGCGGGCGCGGGTTTTGCCGCGCTCATCTCATTGTCCGACTCGCAGCGCGGAGCTTCCGTTTCCCGCCACGCAGCCGCAGCCCCCGACGCTACGCGCGACGCCCGGCGACGCTGCGACCGACGCGCCACGCCGCACTGCTGCCGCCTTGAATGGAAAATCAGCGTCTCACCGTTTCCGGCCACGCAGACGCATACTCGAGTATTCTGCCGTCCTAAAGAAAAACGCCGTATGAGCCATCAGACGTTGCCAAATTTCCTTCGATATATACCGAATGGAGAATTTGCACCTATTTTTTTTAATTCATTTTATGAAAGTAGGGGATGAATTGACCTTCCAGGAATTTTTTCCGATTTTTTTGAGATCGGGAACATTTTTTAATTTGAAAATGAAATTTGGGATCCAGTTCGAATTTGAATTTCGCGCTCACGCCGGTACTTCGTGACGTCAACTCGCGGCTGTCCGCCGTCGGCCTGCTGGAGCCCCATTGCTTACCGTGTAAACTTTCGTCGTCCCGACTTCGTTTTTCGTGCTGTTCAGAAGTGTTTTTTATTGGTTTTTGCGATGAAACCCATCTACAAGACCTGTTTTGTGCCCAAATGCAAGAACACATCGGTCAGTGCTCCCGAAAAGTTATTTTTTTCCGTGCCGAAAGGACCCGATCGGCACTCGTGGTGCGCGATGGCCAGGAGAGATAAAATCTCATTGGTATCAGCTGTTCAATGTTGTGAAGATCATTTCGAGGTTAGTTCTCAACTTTAAACTTGCTGCAGAGGTTTGTAAGCATTATCAGTCATTCTTTACTTCTTTCCGTTATGTCTCGTTTTTGGAAAAGTGCCCTGTAACCTGCTAGAAGCTGTGCTTTCTTCCTCTTCCTCATGTAAACCAACAAAGCATTCCCTGCTCCAGAGTTATCACAAAGAAGATATAATGTAGTCAGTGCTCTTATTTTCCCCAGGTACTTTCAGTAAGGAAGGATACAATCATGTCATTTTAAGTTCCTCTCCAAATATTGTTTCCTGCCTGAGTCCTATGACTTTACGGTCCCGACTAAGGGCAAGTTTCCAAGCGGCCCAGAGTGAGTTTTGTTGGGGAACTCTGTTTCATACATTTGTTCGTCCTGTATGGGCATCAGAATGATTGCTTATTACTCACACTACCAGCTTGGTTCCCATTTCCTCGAGGTAAAGCCATGCGGTTTCCTGATAGGCTCCTAGATTTACTGGATGTTTCGGAATATCTTCCGGAAGTATGGTAAGAAATTAAGCGGATAACATCTGCAGGTTTTGGGAGATGTTCTCAGTTTCATGAGCAAGCAATAAGCTATGCTTAAAGGACCATTCTATTAGAAAATTGCCCATTCTTTTTGTATGAGGACTTGAAAGATCTAGGGAACTGAGTCTGAAAGCCGTGTAACAGCTCCTAGAGCTTGGCACCCTAAGTGTCGAATCTACAACTCTCTTCTTAATAATTTTTCTTAAGTACACATCTCCGCCATATTACTTTTAATTTTCCATTAACACCCAACCTCATATTCGTTTTCAGCCGTCGGAAGATGTAGAGGAATGGACTCGTTACTGCTTCCTCAAAGAACGAGGCCTACCTACTTTCAACTTACGTATTAAGAAGGGCGTGCTTCCACATATTTTCAACTGTCAGCCTGATCGCAAAAGAGCTCACTCAACACCTTTACGTTCAGTTGTAGAAAAAAGGATCGCAGCGGAAACGAAGCGAATTGCTTTACAGCCTGTGTCAGATCGCAATAACAACAACAACAAGGTAAAGTTAATATAAAAGCCACACATTCATAACAATCACTATTCACTTCTCTGAAATGAAATCACTCTGCCAAATCATGAACCTCACTTTCTGCTTCCATATATCTATTCTTGTAAAGGGGGCGGTGCTGTTCATATCCGTCTATCAGTGTCACGCAACCAGAAACTTATTGTGATTGCTTGATTTTGCATTTTCTGAACTTTCCTTTATTTTTATTTTTCATTTTTATCTATTTATTTCAAAGACACATCTATATTTTACCACAATGTCAGCTCAGCCCCCCACCATGAGCACAGTTTGGTGTTCGGACAACCAAACAGAACTCATTTACTGTAGAACTGGAAGCTTAACTATTGGGAAAGTTTCATTTTTCTGATTTTTGCCGGCAGCATGGATAAAAGTTGGCTTTCTTACTTCTTGTGAACACTTTCTTCCTAGGACCAAGAAGAATATGATAGGAGGGATAGTATATTGTGGAAGATTTTATGTAGTTGTCTGTTCATCATTTATTGTCCTTTCTGATTTTTTTCCTTTGATGTCATTACAGGAAAATCACAACCCTCTCATCACTTATCGCCCCCGGCTCAGTGTCTATGACAGTAACTTCTTCATGAGCTGGGCTCATGATTCTGTCTCTTCGCATTATGAATCGGACATCGATGCAATCACTCTGGATACTGAAATCTCTAGTTTCGTGGACGGTGCAGCAAATGAGAACACCAACATTGAAAGAGGTCACAGCTTCAGCGCTAGTTCTCATTCAACTGCTGAGAATTCCACCCCAACAACTTCAGAAGTTACATGTCCGGTAAGTCACTACTCCAAAGACNGGGGGGGGGGGGGGGGGGGGGGGGGGGGGGGGGGGGGAGTTCACATATCTGCAAACTGTCTTGGCCGAAATTTTAGCCTCCTTCCTATTACTCTACCTATCTACCCTACAAAAAATGCTTGCAACCTGAAGAAATTTAATGAACTGTAATTTTTAGAATATATATTTCTTTTTTCCTGTTTTCCCCTTCTTCTTAAATTTTGTTATTTGATTAGGAATAAAAAAATAAAAAAAAAAAAAAATAAAATAAAAAAAATAATAAAAATAAAAAAAATAATCAGCGAACATTGTACCAATGTGTGAGGGTAGCAGCACTTAATTTATGAGTTTGGGTTGGTAGCCGAGTGCTAGAAATAATGCAAAAAATGGATTAGGAATAATGGAGTAAACTTTAACAAAGTTTGAAGTAAACTGTAATCCCTGGCCTTTCACTTTCTGATGTATATTGAATGCATTGTGTTGGTTTTGTTTCAGACTTGTAAGCAGAGAGAATCTGCAGGCACACGTGACATTGCTACCTCACCCCTGCATTTTGAATGCACCCGTGACACAGCAACATCACCTGTTGATTTTGCAGGAGCAATTGACGAAGAGGAAATTTTATCTTCCTGCTCAGAAGTAGAAACTAGTTATGTTTCTGAAGCTGCCTCAGATAGTACGTACAACCCCGAAGAAAGTGTTAATCAATGCACTGAGGAGGAAGACAGTGCAGAGGAAGACAGTGCAGAGGAAGACAACGTCATGGAAGATTTTACAACGGAATACACGAAGGATTTATTTTTAAAATTAGCTACTTTCAGAATGGAGCGTAATCCAAAGCAGTACCTGGGTTTACACCCTGAGAATTTAGAGCTTTTGACACATATAGAACAAATAGCAAACATTAGTAAAATCGAGTCTTACATTGTTCTCCGCAAAATTCGAACTGATGAATCATTTTTTTTTATCGCAGATGACCTAGGTTTCAGCATTAGTAAAGTTTCTCGAATATTTGCTAAACATTTACCCACTCTTTCTGCATACTTTCAGATTTTTGTGTATTGGCCTGAGAAACGAAATATATTGATGACTCTTCCAATTTCTTTTAGAGCTAACTATAAAGATGTAGTTTCTATCATTGATTGCTTTGAAATAGAGTTAGAAAAGCCTTCAAATGCTCTTAATCAGTCTCAAGCTTGGTCCGAATACAAGAAAGGTAACACGGCAAAATATCTCCTCTCTTGCACTCCCAATGGTTTCATAAATTTTGTATCTCAAGGGTTTGGTGGTCGAGCCTCTGATGTTACAATTTTGAAAGAGAGTGATTATCTAAAGATATTGCCCCCTAACTCAGTTGTCATGGCCGACCGTGGGTTTAAGGAAGTTGAAAGTGTGTTGGCTCTGCACAATTGTCGTTTGGTAAGGCCTCCAAGCGTTTCAGAGGGTGTTCCAATGACACAGAAGGAAGCTTTGCTCACGAAAATAATTGCTAGTTTACGCATACATGTTGAGCGTGTTATCAAGCAAGTTCGAGAGACAGCCTTTGTAGATGCGCATGCTCGTTTTAACCACAATTTCACCAGCCAACTTGATAATGTTGTTAATTTAGTCTGTGCTCTATCAAACCTTCAAAAACCTTTGGTAAAGTAGCTCTTCGACAGTTAACCACTCCTCATGAAAATAATTTGCCCCGTTAATATGTGGAAGGGTAGGACCTTTCCATCCTGGCGAGCAACCTCATTATGTCACACCTGGTGTGGAACCGTAATTATCATACATTATTCGTCCAAAATCTTTCCTTGAAAGAGTACTGTAAATTTGACTTATTATACATTATTCCTGTGGAATCTATGCGTAAATACATTTTTATTCTTTTTACATTGTCTTCCTATATTATTTCTGTTCCATATTAAAATGCAAGTAAGATTTTGAAAGAAAAAAAGTATGTGAACCATCCCACTTTCCGTAACAGAATACTTTAGCCCCCAAATCAACTTATCTTCACCTGTGCAGCTATTTTTCTCTCTATTTTCTGTTATTTTGAAGAAAAAAAGTCATCACTTCACTTGTTTAATGCAATAGTTGCAGGTCACTATTTTTATTAAAAAAAAAAAAAAAAAAAAAAAAAAATAGAAGGAGAAATAAAAAAAAAAGGAGAAAAAAAACCTACTTTTTACACAAAGAAAACAGATTTTATTAATTTACCATTTCAGGTGCTTAAAAAAAAATCAACTTTTACTTGCCTGTTCGAGTTTCTTTGCTGAGTCCACGTAGCATCTTATTAGAGAAAAAAATTTTGAACAGTAATTCTGAAACTTTGTATTCTGGCATGAAATTCTGGGAGTTCTGTTCAAGTTTCAGTGACAGGTTCAATCCTTTAAAATAAAGGTTAAGCTTCTTGAATAGATTTTTATGCACTCTCTTTAGAATGAATGTAGACTGATCAGGTCAGGTTTGCTTAAAAAAGGTTTTGCCCATTTTCCCCCTTTTGCTTTCCTTTCTTTTTCCTCATTTTTTTTAAATCTGATCATGAGTGCACAAGTATAGCTATGCGTTATTGTCAGATTCGTTTTAATAAATTTCAGTAAATATTTCTAATTTCTGCTCTAAAAAAAGTGGCTACTTCGAAAATGATGCAACTGTGCAACTTTAAATGATACAAATTAGGGTTCTGCGAGTTTTGTTCATCTTAAGAAAGTAGTCAATCACCAAGCTCTCCCATAAGTACTCATTGCTTCAAATAGTGATTTTATTTCTACATTCTCATAACAGAAATTTGCCACTCTCTTTGAAAAATAACAGACCTGTATCAATTTGTAAGTCACTGACAAACTTGAGAAGGTTAAGTAATGTCTGAGAGCTCACTCAGTGATGCAGGTACTACACAGATTCAAATAATTTTAAAGATTCCTTTTCTTTTTGGCGGGGTGAGTAGAATATGGATTGAGTTTAACTGAAATGCAGCAAGCCGCATCAAATTTGAACCTAAGAAAATAGATTTAAAGTTTCATTCATCAGTAAGACTCAATCCTGAGGACCAAGTTCAACAACTTTTTTCATTTTCCAAATATACTTCAGCAACTATCAATATTTGAAAGGAGAACATTTACGAATGCTTGTTATTGCATACCTCTTCCAACTAATCATTTTTCAAAAGAAGACTTGGTATTTTCCGGGAAACTACGTCTATTTTTAAATCCTCTCACTTTTTTTGCCTAAGGCCCAAAAAGTAGTGCATGGAGGAAATGGTGAGGGTAGAGACGGGTGGAATAGATTTTGAGGGTCAAATAAAAGAGTTCAGATGATTTGAAGGTAACTGCTGCTTATAATTTAATATTAAGAGCACCTTACACGATTATTATGCTACAATCACATTCAATGAAACTGTACAACGAAAATGGTAAGAAAAAACATTATGAATTATTATACTATCTACATTTATAACAGGAGATCAATTTTAACATGACTATATCAGAGAGGCACCAAACACTCTGAAATACTGACAAGTATTTATGAATGAGACTATAAGAATGATTAGATCTGCTTGTACAAAAGCAGTTCACTGATGTTGGGCTGAAATCCAATCACATTCACAGCTTAAACATCAAGTAATTGAATCTTAAATCGAAGAAAAAAACGTATTGTATCACAGTGATGAAACTCAGAAAAAACCCATTATCAGGCATCAGTGTAGTTAGGCACAAGATTCCCAAAAACCAACAAGTTTATAAGAATTGTTAAGGCGGAAATGAGAAGGCTGAGCATTCAAGGGACTTAATGAGGTCATATAAAGAAGAGAATTGAGAACATGAGTAAGTAATATTCCACGACCCAACGAAGTAACATACATAAAAATTTCCAACTAGTAAGTAACCAAAATAAAGGATAAGAAAAACGCAATAATAATTTTCTAAACATGAACATGGTGAGAGACTTTAATGTGTACAACGGCTGAGATCATAGGAAAACGCCAGAGGTAGATACTTTACAACTTTGGATAAACATATTTACGCCAAAATTCTGTGGCAGCAGTAATCAATTCCATAATAGTAGCTCTATCAAACTTTACTTCAATTATTTTTACAAACCCATTATTTTCGAAATCTGGGTCAGCGACACAAAACAGGCCTTTTTGCTTGTCACATAAAAGCATTTGAAGCAAAATTTGGGCTTTGTACTTAGGTGCTGGTTCCGTAAAATCGTTGTTAAAATAAGATGGGTAGGTTTCCCCGGAAGCTGGACACTTAACTTCCACAACATGCTCTCCAAGAATACCATCAGGCGAAGCACCAAACATTGGGTACGCGCTGTTTAAAACTAATCCAGTCTTTTGCATAGGAACTTTTGTTTTCCGTATTTTCCTAACTTTACTTAAAACTAAAGGCTCTAACCTCCGCCCCCGGGCCATTGCTTTTGTATCTTTGAACTTTTTGGCTCCTAGTATAGTGGCAACTAGGGAACCGTCCTCAGTGTGGCACCTTGCTGCTTCATGTAGCTTAGATGCAGTTACTCGCCCGTATCGAAACTCAAACCACAAATCAGACAAAGCCTGGTTTTTTGTTTCCTCAGCTACCTTTAAGCATTCCTCTACAGTCATTAGAGAGGCACAAAAGTCTGTAAAACTGTCAACGGTATGAGGGTCTGGAGTATCATAAACATAGGATGTATGCATACGGTGAATTGATAAGGTGACCTCAGGATTTGTCACTTGCGCATAAACTTGGAACCCTGACTTTTGGAAGGTCTTGTTGCTGAGATTTCGAAACTGGGCCAAATTTTCTGGCAGCACCGATGCAGTGTGGCGCTTCTTGCCCATTGCAGCAATCAACTTGAATTTGTCCGTGGAGCCAACCTTCGCAAGGGGCGATCGGAGCCAGTAGCAATCAACAGAAGTGACAGACGGTGTTTCACTTCTCCGATTCACCCAGGCCACAAATGCGAAAACATGCTTGCAAATAACTGTGAACAAAATGAACAGGTGAATTACATTGCTGTTATTAGGAAAATACAATCAGAAATACAAATCAAAAATCACATTGGTACAAGGGTTATGAAGGTGGCACATGTTCGTCATTTCAGAATATGATGACTTGGGAGGCAGCTGGATATGTGATGGATCTAGGGTGCGGAAAAATAAGTTAACCGCAGGAATCATCTGCAGTTCCAAGGGTTTTATTGCCTTCATATATAAAAACTAGACCCGCACCTAAGCTGTAGGTATTTCAATTCTTATTATTTCAGAAAGTTTCGGCATCCTAGTTTCTTATAGGGTTTGAACTGTCTTAATTATTTGCCGCATTCATGAATGCTGTGTAAGAGCAAATAAATCTTCTTTCTTTCTATGGCAACGTCTAATGAGCGATTTAACTTAGAAATCACCATGCGATGCTGCAGGATATTAAGAAAGTCTAAAACTGACGCCACTTAATCCGCTCTTAGGAACGATGGTAGCTCTTCCAAAACCCAAATTTCAACCGAAGATGCTGGAAAAAGAAGAGATGACTGTAATGAAATTTTCTCAAAAAACCAATAATTCACCTGAGCTAGCTGCACATCCGGAACAAGCTGCTTTCGTTATCTTCATTAGCCCTTCGTCAAGTTCCATCATCACGGGGTAGCCCTTGTTACGTACTCTATGCTCTGGGGTGACTTCTCCTTTGAGGCACACTTTAAGTCCCTCTCTTTTTACTTGCACATAGCAAACCGCATGATCACCGTAGCTTGCCCGACTTGACCTAAAATGGAAAAAACAGAAGCGTTACAAACATGTACATTAGGAACAGCAACAGACTGTTCAGATAGTACAGGACTCAGAGTAAACAAGAAATCTCCATCATCACGGGATATCACTTGCTTAGCATGGAGCAAAGCGTGGGATGCACTGCGCACTTGGACCTCTAATCATCATGGTTCAGCATTGCCGAAAGGTACAAAAGGGGAAAATCAATAGGATGCACCAGAGAAATATTTCTATATACTGTCTGTCAGGAGTACCTTAGCTGTGATTGCATAAGTTGAGATTTAAAAGGTTCGTATAGTCTGACAGAATAAGTAAGTTGTTGTTTACATTTTGAAATGTCAACCTGTCACCTGAACTGAAAGTTCACGAGAGGCTCTTGTAGGGCCACTTGATCAGTCCAACAGCACCATGAATGATAAGCAAGCACAGGTTTGAATGTACGATAGCACTTTCATGACTCATCATAGTTCATGACAAATTAATGCATATCGCTCGCCCATAATCTGAACCCGATTGCGTAAAAGAAATCAGATTACCATTACCAAACATAATCCGGCAGTAATGTAATTGAATACACATTTTCTATCTGCAAGGGTCTACTAAATTTCTGATTCCTTGCAAATCTCCAGGTAGAAAGTGGGATTATCATAATGCAAACAGATGTAAGCATGTGCATATTCAAGATGTTCAGGTACAGGCTAGGTGAGCAGAGTTCACATTGAAAAGGGTTAGATATAAGACACTTAAATGTGGAAACTAAGTAGGAGCATTGACTGTAAGTAAGATACTTAAACATTTGCACACAGCGTTTCCTTCATGATGCATTTAAATATGAGAGCTAGGCCACTTTTACACATTCACTCAAACCTAGGCTTGAATTGAAGGGGGCTTGCGATTAGCATTATCATCTGTTAACTCTACAGATGATCAGGATCACCTACTAACTGAACATATGATCAGCAAACAATAAGTACAAGTAGAAGTACTAACCTTATCTCCTTCACATGCTGGACCTCGGGCTCCAGCCTGACCGATGAATTGAAGAAGTCGACGACCATCCTAAGAGTTAATTTGGGCAAATTGCGACTGTCTGCCTTTACGTATCCATCGGAAACAATTTTCGGCGCCATTCTCGCGATTAAATTAGCAATTCACATTTGATTCACACAATAATTGAACATTTCACGATAGAAAGCCGCACGCGCAATGTTTACCTTACGGCCGATCGCCATGTTGGATTCGGATAGCCGCTAGATGACGTCATCAGCCAATCAGAGACCCGGAAACTTTCACGAGCTTTTTCCGCGCTGAAAAAGCACTGACGAACTTTTTTGACCACACCATCGTTTTTCTCGCGAAATTTTCATCCGGAAAAACATTACTTCGAAGGAATCCCCACTGCATGCAAATTCTCCATTCGCAGGGAAAATGGTGAATATTTTTCCCCCAAAATTCTCAGACAATCTCGGCCGTAATTCAATCTAAAATATCTGAAAATTTCAAAGAAAAATGTGCACGAATGTCGTCAAAAATGCATGTTTTACCTTCAGAAATTTGGCAACTCTCGAATGTTCATACGGCGTTCTTCCTTAGCACGGCAGTATTATAGTAGTGAGAGTATGGACACCGCAGGATCCATTTCTGATTAGCTCAGCTATCTAATGCTTCACCAAGCTCCCAATAAGAAGAAAACAATGGCTGACGCTGCATGCAGATAACTCAGAATGATAGCAAATGAGGTTTTATTTCCTTGCATCACCATGAGCGTTACTCAAATTGCCCAGCTAGGCGCATTCACTTACAATTAGTTGAGAAATCATTTTTGTGGATACATCCGAAAAAATCTTCTCAACTAACATCATCAAGCAACATCCCCTCCCACCGAGTCGCCATTTGTACTTTTTTTTTTGGCGCAAAATTGGTTTCAAAACTGACTAAGTAATTTGAGGAAGTTTGGATGTGTTACAGTAAAATCAAACCCCATTTGTAATTTTGTATAATCTGTATACAACGCGCGCCATTTTTGGGATTCCAGACAGCCTCTTGAAACCTACTGTGACTGAACCATTCAAAAACGTACCCTTCAGTGTCCATGCATATTCTCCTTACGAAGGTAGTCTAATTAAACATACCCAACTGTTTACTGAGTGTGTTTGTGGTACGTGCATGGACATCGGAATATCTATTTCCAAGAAACTAGGACTGACCAGAGACACTGACTGACTCATCCATGTATCGCCTCGTGGAGCTCTTGGCATCCGAAAAAGTGTTTCGAGTTGCATACAGCCATAGGAGGAACAAGGAACTTTTTTCATGGGAGAGGGCCGAAAGCACCTCATCAAGGGAGGTTCGGGGGGCACTAAAAGACATCTTATCAAGCGCGATCAGCAAGACTCCCCCAGCTCTAAAGGAGGATTCGGGGGATTCCTGTAGCCTCAAGGGGACCCGACGTCCATCTCTTGAAAATTTTCAAAAATTGTGCTTTCTCAGGAGCTATTTTTATCCGTTTTTATCTAATCGCCAATCTCAACTTCAAAGGTAGATGATAGGTCTTCCTTTTACCAAGCAAATTTCTCATATTTTTTGAGCAGGGCCATGTAAATTTCTGAAGGGAGGCTTGGCCCCCGCTAATTCCACCCCTGATTCAAAATGACAGAAAATGAGGTTTTTTCCAACAACTCAAATTACATAGAGATGCTTATTTACTGATTCTGAAACCAATTTATTTGCATCGCATGCAGAAAAATATTCTCTACTGATTGTAGGATCCCTATCATGACAAGGCTGACAATGACCGTTGAAGATTGGTGACAACCCCCTCTCATCCAGAATCGCCGCCATTTTTCTGTGTCTCCGTGGGTCCTCAGTCAGTGTCCATATTTTCTCCGTCCAAGAGGCACTCTGCTGTTGATCAGTGGAAGTCCACGCGGGAAGGGCTTGGGCTCACGTGCGATAAATGCCCCGATGGGACGATAATGGAGGCCTGCGGTTGCCCGTCAACAGCCAGCAATGAGCCACTCATCCTCCCATTCCACCGCCGCGCCGCGCCATGCCATTGCCACGCCACCGTGCCGCGTTCCATGGCGTGGCCGCGGTCGGTCGCCGCGAAAAAGGCTCGTCGCTCGTAAAACGGCCGCTGCTCCTGCTTCCTATTGCGACACACCAGACCTCCGAGTCCGAGTGCCCGCTCATCAAATACGGTTACATGTCGCCAAACCTGTTCCCTCCAAATCGGACGCATTCGACAAATCCCTACCAAGGTTGACATGCCGTCAAAAAGTCGCTCTTTTTCCCGATCTAAATGATATCCAGCGGGCTGATCGTTGAAATCGATAGACACACCTTTAGACAAAGAAGATAAGGAGGATATGGAGGGATCCTATTGATGGAAGTGGGTGGTTGCAATTGATAAAGAAGGTAGGTAATAGACTAACTGACGGCAACCCACCAGAGACGATATTATCTCGAAATTAAGAAAAAAAGAGACATCTAAAGTGTAAACGCGATACAACAATTCGCGCAAGAAGGATGTCCACATTGCATGTGAAAAATGTAAGACGCGATGGCCTGAGTCGTGAACTCGCGATTCTCTGCTCAATGCTACTAGTTTGAAGCACCATTACGAATAAGACAAACGCAATCAAACGCAGTATGGATATAGAGGAAGGCAAAGGATGCGCGTTTACGACGGCACAGAGATACAACTATTCGTACTTGATGGACGTCTGTGCTGCATCTGAAAAATTGAAGGCGCGATGACGCGAAGCGTGCGCTCTCAACGCTTTGCTATATGCTGTCAATGAGGTGTCGCTCAGGTGCAAGAGAAAAGTTTAAAAAAAGGCCCGAACACATCTCTCCTACCTTCGGCTGTGTTACTCACGTGGTGCTTGAAGCAAAATTACGGATAAGACAAACGCAAACAAACAAAATATGGAAATAGAGGCAGGAAAAGGACGCGCGTTGACGACGGCGCAGAGATACAACTATTCGTACTTGATGGACGTCCGTGCTGCATCTGAAAAATTGAAGGCGCGATGACGCGAAGGGTGAACTCTCGATGCTCTGCTATATGCTGTCAATCGAGAGTGATAGACCCTATAGTCAGTCCAGTCAGCCCTCTGCACTCGATAAGGGCTGCTAACCTATGGACTCGAATTATCCAGTGGTACTAATTTTCATAATTCTTACTACCCGTCGTTTCATAACTGATCAAAAATTATAAAAGCCCGTTAAAAACTTTGATTTTGCATAAACTTTCTCAGTTTAGAAATCTTAATCCTCAAAGACGCTTGTTTACAATGCGCTGTCGGCCGTATCGATTGATCTTTCAAATGTATAGATTGGCAGCGGCACTTTTCTGGTGATTTTCGTTTTACACGTTGTCGCCCTTTTGGGCCTGAGAGTTACATAAATCGAGTTGTCCATACTCTCCCGTGAAGATACTCAAGTTATAGAATATGAACATTTTTCTTGGGACTGAGTTGATATTGGTCCTGGATAGAGTACCTTTATAGGGAGAATATGGACAACTCGTTTTACTCGATGGGACTCTTAGGGCCCAAAAGGACGACAACGTGAAAAATGAAAATCACTGGAAAAGTGCCGCTGCTAACCTATGCATTTGAAAGATTAATCAATAGGGCCGACAGCGCATTGTAAACAAGCGTTTTTTAAGGATTAAGACTTTGAAACTAAGAGAATGTATGCGACATCGAAATTTTATACGTTTTTCATTAATGTTTGATCAGGGTACCTACTCTCGGAGTTTGAATCAGTACCACTGAATGATTCGAGTTCATAGGTTGGCTGCCTTTTGGGGCCCTAAGAGCTACACACGGAGAAAAAAACCTCGTGCGTGGGACCCGAAATTTAGGTCATATGGATGTCTGAAATTTTCAGATTGAGCATCTAAACACTTCAGATCTAGCTGTCAAGGTTCGGATCACACATCTGAAACTTCAGTTCTTACATCTGAAGTACTTCAGATGTGAGAACCCAAGTTTTTCGGATGTGAGAACTGAAGTTTTTCGGATGTGAAAACTGAAGTTTCAGATGCGTGATCCGAACCTCGACAGCTAGATCTAAAGTGTTCAGATGCTCAATCCGAAAACTTCAGAGATCCATATGACCTAAACTTCGGGTCCCATGCACAAAGTGTTTTTCTCCGTGCACGACCTAATCAAACCTAACCTTCAAATTTTCGAGTTGTCCATTCTCTCCCTATAAAGGCACTCTAGTCCTGGATGCTGGAGAAGGGTAGAGTCCCTTTATACTGAGAGTCAAGACAGTTTGAATCCATTTCTGATTGGTTCCCGTATTTTAGGCCTCCACAGTGTCACAAACGGGAATAAAGATTACATTTTCACCAATTGCAAAGATTATAATCTGGAATGGACCAGGGAATGACGGGTTCGGCAAGGAACAAACGGAATGAGAGGAGGAACGGAGAAAGGCATTTGAGAATGGGCCGATCAAAGATTACGAAAAACGTTCAATTTCTGTAATCTTTATTCCGTTTGTGACATCCATGAGCCGAATTGTCTTGACTCTCAGTATAAAGGGACTCTAGTCCTGGATGCTGGAGGAGGGATAGTTTCCGAAGCGGAGGCGGCAGCGGCGTAGTGAATGGAGCGGGCGGAAAACGGCACACATCAACTTTAACCTTGGGTCAAGACAGGTGGCTTTGGGGCCGGGGCCCAGTCGCACGGTCGCCGTCCGGGTCGGGTCCGGGTCCGCTCGGAATGCCCATGTTGAGTTTTTCCTTAAGCGCGCACCGCGCAGGCGCAGGCTCGACCGCGACGGGAGGCGGGGGAACCGGGCGGGGGGGCGGAACCGGGACCCGGTTCATTCATGGAAACTATTTCGTTACCGGTTTTCGCTCGCCATATCCTCTAGCCTCTATCCTCCATCCGATTTTGTGTAGGTTCCATCCAGACTCGACTCGACTGCGTGCGTGATGCCGTTCCATGCGGGCAAGGCATCATGGCCTCGCCGCTCCCACCGTTAACCTGGAAATTTCGTCGTATCCGAGGAAAATCCTCCGGAGTGATTACACCCTGAAAAAAAAGATTGGTAGAATTTACGATTCCTTCACGCTGTGGGAAATACAGCGTGGTAAATTCTACCGATCTTCAAGTGATTCTGTCAGGAGAATGGTTACCTGTACCAGTATATAGTAACGTTTACCTTTCTTCTGGCAGAATTGACTCAGAATTGACGCAGTGTGAAAGAGAAGAGTGGTAAATTCTACCAATCTTTTTTTTCAGTGCAGTTGGAAAATGTGAGATATGCTGCTAGGAATGTGCCCCCTCACTCCTGAAAGCTCGTCTTCGTGTTCTTCTAAACGCTGAGAAGTGCCGCGGGCTGGTTGTTGAAATTGATAGACAAAGCGATAGTCAAAGAGGACACACGG